CACCATCAAGTTACCAACTTTTCCCTTCTCTTTCACTGCATTGTGCCCTCAGGATACGATTTCTGCCTACTTTGAGTTTGACGCAGTATAGTGAAACAACTCAAAGCCAGTGTTGAAGAATAAAAGACCAAATTGACCCAGAAAATAATCAGTGACATAAATGGATCAATTAGAGTTTACTGAATGACCAAGCAAACAAACCAGCCAGTCAGCCCATTTTTACATTGTTCTCCTTAACACCCAACACTGGGAAACATTGGTTTGCTTTCAGTATCTGAAAATAATTCAATTCCTCCATTTCTTCCTTCCTTCTAATGGCCCTAGGCTCTACAGTATAGCACCAAGGTAAGACAAACTCCTGATCTTCTGAGCTTGTTTCCCTTTCTGCCTAGTTTTCATACACTTTTTCATATATTTATGTTAATAATTTCTGTTAACAGGGGCGCCTGGGTGGCTCAGTGGGCTAAAGCCTCTGCCTTAGGCTCAGGTCATGATCTCAGGGTCCTGGGATTGAGCCCCGCATTGGACTCTGCTCAGCAGGGAGCCTGCTTCCTTCTCTCTCTCTCTCCCTGCCTCTCTGCCTACTTGTGATCTCTTTCTGTCAAATAAATAAATAAAATCTTTAAAAAAAAATTTTCTGTTAATAAAGTTATTTGTTACAAGTAATGAATAACAAAAGTTACTAATAACAAAGTTATTTGTATTGTTACACATAACAAAGTTGTTTTTTTATTTATAAAGTTATTTCATACCTGTCCTAATTCTACCACAGGGATATTTAAGCAGTGCACTTACTTGGGATTTTGGTCAACTGAAATTCATAATGAACCGTTAAGTGAGTTGGTTAAACATTAATGCATAAATTATTAGCAACATAAATAGAAAACATAGATAAGACGATAGTCACTTCAATCCTGGCTGACCAGGGAAAGAATTCCTTAGAAAACAGTGCCTGGCTGGCTTAGTTGGTGGAGCAGGGGACTCTTGACCTTGGTGTTGTGAGTTCAAGCCCCATGCTGGGCATAGAGTTTACTTAAAATAAAGGGGCACCCGGGTGGCTTAGTCAGTTGAGCATCCAACTCTTGATCTTGGTTCAGGTCTTGATCTCATAATCATGAGTTTGAGCCCCACATTGGGCTCCACACCCAGTATGGAGCCTATTTAAAATAAGAAAAAGAAAAGAAAAAAGAAAAGCAAAATTATTTGTCAATTAAAAAAAAGAGAAAGTGCCTTTCAGTACATTGTACAGGAACAATTTTTACCAACTGTTAAATTAATTCTAACTAAATTTCACTTATTCCTTTGGGTAGATATTCCGGTGTGGTATGGTCTGTGATGAATTATGATGCACAATATATCTCTCTTAAGCCTATGTTATTTGCAAATTTGATCTCTTTAAGTTATTGATGTAGTAACCACCTCCTTCCAGGTTGAACCCATACATTTTTGGGTGCTGTTGCTCAGCGTCATCTGTTTTATTAAGCCTACCTTTCTTCATCGTGGTTATGAGAACTTTGTAAGATTTTTGTCAGATATTTTACTGAATTTAGGATAACTATATCTGTGGCATTTTCCTGACCTCTAATAGAAGAGCCTTAAAAAAGCAAATTAGATTAGTGTGCAGCTTGGCCTTCATAATTTCACTTTTCACAAATAGGAGCTATGTGAATAGATATTTTTATCCAGAGGTTTATTAGGAACAGTGAGAGACATATATTGCTCTTGTGCAGTTTCACTTGTACTTGTTCTATTTCTTTCTCTCTCTTTCTTTCTGGAAACATCTTTACTGATGTATAATTTACATATCATGAAATTAACTCATTTAAAATATACAAATTCAGTAGTGGTTAGTTTACAGAGTTGTGTAACTGTTACCATAATCCAATTTTAGAACATTTTTACTATCCCAAAAAGAAAACTTGCGTCCATTCTCACTCTCTTCTTTTAAAAAAAAAGAAAGAAATCTAGAAGTGATTTTACTTTTGTTTTCTAATGAAGTGTTTCCTCAAGAAACTGCCTTTCCATTATGGATTTCCTGGTCTTGGTCTTCATATTATGTGCTTATAAACCTAGAATTTCATTCCTTCCTTATTTAACTAGTTTAAAAGATAACACAAGGAAAATAGATGAAATGTCTTAACATGAAGTGGTTAGTACCAGCTTAGGACTATTTTTCAATTTCGTGGATTTATTTTTTTATTTTATTTATTTTTAAAGATTTTATTTATTTATTTGACAGAGATAACACAGCGAGAGAGGGAACACAAGCAGGGGAAGGGGGGAGGGAGAAGCAGGCTTCCCACTGAACAGGGAGCCCAATGTAGGACTCGATCCCTGGGCCCTGGGATCATGACCTGAGCCAAAGGCAGGCACTTAATGACTGAGCCACCCAGGTGCTCCTCAATTTCGTGGATTTTAAAGTATCTATGATCTTGTTCAGGAGTTCTTTCATTGGGTAGTGGATACTGTAAAACTGTAATTTGGATTGAATTTAGGAGTAAATGACTTTAGTATTAACAGCATAATTTACATTCCTTGAATCTTTTTATGTCTTATGGGAAGCAGATTTAAGAGTAAGGCCAGTATATGTGGTTGGGTTGTACAAGTACAGCTTGGGGAGAGTTTCTTCAAGATAATGGGGTAAAAGAAAAATTTAAATGAGGATTTAAGTCTTAGATTGTTTGGAGTAACAGAGCCAACCCAGTTATGTTTGAAATCAGAGCCTATAATGGTAATGACTGTATTAAATGCTTCTTCCCTTGGGTAGATATGATAAAATTTCTGACTTCTTTAATTTCCAAACACTTGAGTCAGTTAATCAGAAAATACCTTTGATGAAGGAATGAGTCCATGCTTCCTACACCTTCTACTTCCCCTTGCATGTTACTTTGTTTGTTTTGGGGGGTAGATTGTGCGGAGAGCTAAGATATAATAAGTTCTAATATTTAATTACTTTACAGTGTATTTTTATTAACATTGCTTTTATACCTCTCATATAGATTCAATTTTATACGCTTCTTTGGGAAAGGTAGAGTGTTTCAGCCCACACAGTTTTGTTTTGTTTTGACTTATTTAATAACTAAAGAAGTGGAGAAATACTTCCTCAACTAGTAAAGTGCTGTCAGTGATGGGCTATTACTAGGACTTTTTTTTTTTTTCCTGATGGAAATATATTTTGATAGATCCTTTCTCTTTTCATCTAAGCTGTTTTTATTTTCATATTTCCTTTTGGTTTGTTTGGAGAAAAAGGAAGGACTTGAGTATGTTTCTCTTTTATGCATAAGGAAGTCTTCTTCTCAGCATGTATTGAGACAGATTATTGTTTTAAAACCAATATCCTATGATAGTGGCATTTCTGTTTTAATTAGGTTCTTCAAGTGTTAGGTATTAGAGTTTTTCAAAAGACAATTTTCAGTTGATTCTGTGCTGCGAGTAAAGATCATTTAATTGTAAAACTTCTAGTTTTAGCTTTCTTTCAGGCCATTCTTCTTACACCTATCCATGTCAAAGTTGGTATACATAATTCAAAGATTAATTGGAAGGATCAAAGTATGTATATATTCAGTGATCAGTAAACTAAAAGTATTGTTCGTTATCAAGGATAAAATGTCTTAGAGAGCTACCTTTGTTTTTTAATCCCTCATGCAAATGATTAATAGTCTTTTTTATTTGTTGGAGTGTTGGCTTTCTTGGAATACTGGGCAAGTTCCTTAAACTCTATGTCTCCATTCTTTTGAAAATGAGTATATGATTCTAAGTGGTCATTAGAAGTTCCTTCCAACATTGATTCTACCACCTTTACAAGATATTTTGAGAATTAATTTGTGCCCCAAACCATACAATAATAACTATAAAAGAATTTTTTAAAAAAAGATTTTATTTATTTATTTGACAGAGAGAGAGATCACAAGTAGGCAGAGAAGCAGGCAGGGAGAGAGAGGAGGAAGAAAGCTCCCTGCCAAGCAGAGAGCCCAATGTAGGGCTCGATCCCAGGACCCTGAGACCATGACCGGAGCTGAAGGCAGAGGCTTAACGCACTGAACCACCCAGGTGCTCCGTATAAATGAATTTTTAAAATAGTAGATATAGACATAAATTTATGGACAGTGATTATAAAGTACCTTAAAAAGATATATGAACACAATAAAAGATAGGGATGCCTGGGTGGCTCAATTGGTTAAGCGTCTGCCTCCAGCTCAGGTCATGATCCCAGGGTCCTTGGATAGAGGTATCCATCTTACCGCATTGGTCTCCTTGCTCAGCAGGGAGCCTGCTTCTCCCACTGCCTGACACTCCCCCTGCTTGCGCTTTCTCTCCTTTCTCTCTCTCTCTCTGACAAACAAATAAATAAAATCTTAAAAAAACAAACATAGAAGTAATTATATTCTAATTTAGGCATTTATCCTTTCTGATTTAAGAGTATCCTATACTTGTGCCTTTCTAGAGTTTGGAGATAGCTCAGAATAAAAATATAATATTTCCTTGAGCTATGACATTCCTTGTTTAGCTTTTTGGGGGAGAGAAAAATGCATTATGATAGTGAATTAAACTATTTGCTTTAAGGTGCTAGGTAGAAGAGTAAGGCTAGACTAGTGGTCTCATTGGAGAAGCCATTTTAAAGCTGATAAGAGTATGATAAGTTACACTTTTATTATTACACAGAAAGAGATTGTACATTTTGGGTTATTTGACATTTCTTATATTTTGTCTGAGTTTATTCAGTTCTAAAAGTTAATAGCCTTAGCATCTTTAATATAAAGGAAGAGACCAAGAAGAAAACAGGGGACAGAACTAATGGAAAAATCACTCTTCAGTAAAATTGAATAATAAAAAAAAATTGCTAATAATTCTTTACAACAGAAGTTATATGGAGTTCTTTTTACGTGTGTGTGTGAATAATATAGTTTTCTTCCTGAGTGAAAAGACCTATTAATTTCATGTTTATGTATTAGGTTACTGACTTACACTCTTTTAAAATTTTTTTCTCCTTCCTCCTACAGAATCTGTCTATGATCTTCTCCCAAAGGAGTTACAGTTACCTCCATCTAGAGAAACATCTGTAGCATCAATGAGTCAGACAAGTGGTGGTGAGGCAGGCTCGCCTCCTCCAGCTGTAGTTGCTGCTGGTATGCATTTCATTTTATTTTATTAAAGAAAACTAGTGTATTATCTGGCCAACATGAACAGTGCTGGCAAAGTTCATATCAAAAAGAGTGTGATTTGAGGGTTTTTTTAAAGAGGTTTAAAAATATACTTTTAACCTTAAAATATTTCAATATACATTTCTTGATATTCTTATTTCTTAAAATTTCACATTGGCACAACTGTTAGTGCTATTTATTTTCTAGGAGCTTATCTTCAGCTGTGGAAATAAGCTTGAAGCTCTTTTGTTGACTGCACATAAAAAAGTTACATACCAAGCTATGAATAGAAAATTACATCTGAGTCCCTATTTAATTATTTTTTTTTTAAATTTGCTGAAAGAGAAAAATGCTTTATTTTGTATAATCTGAAAAAGGACTCAAATACTCAAGTCTCTTTTCTGTTTGTAGTGTGTCATTATAACCTTTTCCCTACATTTAAAAATATGTGACTTTAGATTTCTTTTAAAGTCAGTTGAAAGTAATGGAAGATTTGAATGTAATATTTATGTAAAGACATTTTGTAATATCAGTGAAAAAATATGGAAAATAATGTTTGAAGTTTATCAAGTTAATTTTTGCTCAGCTCTCAAATCATACACTTTGTATAAAATTGGTTCCATTTTTTAATGAACCAGAATAAAAGATTGATGGATAAACTAATAGAAAAAAGTCTTGATTGTTGATAAATTAATGAGTGCATTCGGTAATATTAGATTGCCCAACTGTATTTATTTTTTTTAGTTGGGTTTTAAACACTGCTAAGTATGTTCGGTTTAAAAAAGAAAAGGACAAAAATTATACTCTGAAGTTTTATCCTTCTAAGTAGAGGTTTCTTATCCAATGATACCTCTCATCTTTTAAATGGTACTTAAAATCCATCACAGTGTTGTTTTTAGTAAATTCATTTTATTTCAAAAAGAACAGTGAAGTGGAAGGTTGTGGTTTAAATAAGGATTTGGTACTGTACTAGAACTTCATATATTTTTCTTGTATGCATTAACCAATGTACCATTAACCCTGTGTACGGATCTTTTCCCTGAGCTATGTACTCAGTATGCAGCCTTCCTGATTGAGGGCAGGAAAACTTTAAACATAGCAAAGAAACTTATCAGCCCTGCTCACTGTTCATGTGTTGCCAGACATTTTCTAACAGATTCTGTGGATTTAACTGTGATTTTTTTAGTAATCAAATTGGTAAGAAGACCTGGTTTTACTTTATATCCACTGGGTTCTAAAATGTCCCTGAATATTTTTTCTGGAATTTAAAATTTTAAATATTGTTTACAAATTGTATCAAATGATAAAATAAGAAAAAAAAAAAAAGATTTTTAATGAAATATTTCACTTTAAATCCACAAGTAGAAATTGACTAACTGATTTCTTTTGTATCTTTTGAGATTATTTTTTATAGACTTATTGAATCTATATAGAACTAAAAGTCTGTTTCTTCTGTGCTTTTTAACATCTGTTGACAGTAGATCCAGTTCCTTTTAAAAGCTGAAAAAATGTCAGCGAGGTTTGGAAAAGAACTCTTCCTTTTAAAATAATACCAAACTCAATTTCAAGTTTGTATATATAGATATTGAAAGTTCTTGAATTTGGGTCACTAATAGAATGTTGATCCTCCCTCCTTCCCTCTGTTTATTTGAGAAAATCCTCTCCAGATAAGTTAGATTGAAAGACATGAGTTGAAAAATCATGAAAATAAGAGAATTGACCAAAGGAAGTATTCTGAAGTAATTAATTCTGACTAGATTGAGAAGTTACTGACATTCTAAAGAAGGTGAAGAGTGTAAGGAGGTAACATTATATTCACATACAGAAAGTTTCTGTGATCTAAAACCAAGTCATTTGTAATTTTTTTTACTTAAATTTACTTTTAGTAACCAATATAATCTTATTCTAGGATTCTGTCTTATTAGTAGAATAGTGTTTGTCATATAACATTATAGGTAAGAGAGTTTAAGTTACAGAATATTATAGGGAAATCAATTAGTAGGTATCTTTATAGTATTGCTTTTTTATTTGATATATGAATATCTTCAGTGATATAACTATCAAAAGGTTTTGGAGTAAATTGCCAGTTATTCAGTGTTTCCTGGCCAAAAGACATGATGTCTAGGGAAAGGCACATTAATTTAGACTTCTGTGAGTTTTATTCTTAATATATACATTTGCTGTTTAAATATGAAATGCATAAAAATGATGACTCTTGATGTAGTTAATTCTTCAGAGTTTTGAAGGAGCCGGATTGGCTGCTATCAGGTATGAGGGCCTGGTGGGAACAGACTTCTAGTTCTGCTATAAAGGTTTGTGTTTCACAAGTTCTAAATCAATTTAAATTTGAAAATTTAGAGGCTGGGCATATAGGTTTTCATGTACAGTCTTTATTAATTATTTAAAATGTGTTTCTCAGATTCACCAATCTAGATTTTTTTCCCTTCACGTATTACTAAGGGAATGAGTAAACATGATGCTGCTAATCCACAATTCAGAATATTGGATAAAAGAGTATCTCAAACCTTTTTCTGCCTCTGCACTATTCACACTTTTTCATACTCCCATCAGTAACATCATTTTATCGGGTAAGTTCCAAGTTGGGGCTGGGGGAAAGAGGGCTTACTTCTACACAACTCCTCCCCTCTCCACAGGCCAAGTGTCAAAATGTGGGAGATAAGTTGAGAATCACCAGTCTGAAATTTGTACTCCTTCTCATTTTTTGAAGACCTCTGCTTTTGTCCCATTAGAAGGGTAGTTAAAAGTTTGAGGTTTAGAAAGGTAGTTAAGAGTTTGAGGTTCAGTATTTGAATGAATAAGTTTTAGAAGCAAAGACCTTCAGAACAGTATTGTAGGTTCTCTGTAGTTAAGAAAGGGGCCATTTTCCTAACACAAGAAAGTTATCCAAATGAATTAATGGCATTTTTGGCAAAATAAGGAGTTGCTCAAGAAATGTATATTGTGAAAGGATTCTTTTTGTTTGTTTTTTTTGGGGGGGGGTGGGAATCGTATAGTTTAGGTTAAAAGAACTAAAATGCAAGTATTATTTAAGAAGAACTAACACAAACAGTTACACCCGAGTTTGGGCAGTTTTTGTGAAGAGATAAGGCAGGCATTTTTCTTAAATAACAGCTTTATTGATAAATAGCTTGTATAACCAATCACGTATTTTTAAAAATCTACTTATTGGGGTGCCTGGATGGCTCAGTGGGTTAAAGCCTCTGCCTTCAGCTCAGGTCATGATCCCAGGATCCTGGGATCGAGCCCTGCATGGGGCTCTCTGCTCAGCATGGAGCCTGCTTCCTCCTCTCTCTCTGCCTGCCTCTCTGCCTACTTGTGATCTCTGTCTGTCAAATAAATAAATAAAATCTTAAAAAAAAAATAAAAATCTACTTATATGTTTATAGTTCTTCATCCTTAGATATACCTCATTTAATTAAAATAAGAAGTCTTCAGGTGCCTGAGTGGCTCAGTGGGTTAAGCCTCTGCGTTCGGCTCAGGTCATGATCTCAAGGTCCTGGAATCCAGCCCCGCATCAGGCTGTCTGCTCAGCAGGGAGCCTGCTCCCTGACCCCCACCTCCGCCTGCCTCTCTGCCTACTTGTGATCTTTCTCTCTGTCAGATAAATCAGTCTCAGGATACTGATCCTTGTGCACTTTTTAACCTGTACAGGTATACACACAGATTAAGCATGTATAATAGAAATACCTGTTGAATATCTCCACTAGTTATATCACTGGAGGTTTTTAAAGGCTGTAATTTTAGTTTATAACTTTCTGTGAAGTGATCCATTTAATAAACTTTTCCATTGGAAGAGAGAAACCTATTAAATAGTGCTTTGAATTTTATGCCACAGCAGTTAGTAAATCACAAGTAGCTAACAGGTATTGTCTATACTGAAATAACTTAATTGAGTCTTATTTATATTGGAGGAGAGGATCCAAGAGAGCTACATTAATGTCCTGTTATCAAAGAACAGCTATGCTTTCATGTGTTTTAGACATCTTAATCATCTAATAAAATCATAAGAATTTCTAAACCATCCATAACAACAGAGCAGTACAAAAAAATGAGTTGAAGAAAATGTAAGTTACCATTTTTGAGTTCCTACTGCATAACAGAAGTTGTGCTAGACAGTTCGCATATCATCATATCTCAGTTCTTCCAGGGACGAGAGACCTTTCTTCTTTCCTGCTGGGGTCTAAGTTTTTTCTTCTTGCCTTTGTACTTCAGGGAATCGTGTGCAATTATTTCACTTAGATAACAGTAGTTCCTGGACAAAGCAGTGCGTAAGATATTGAGTTGGAAAAACCATCTACCCTTTAATTCTGCAGGTTTCAAGATCTGTAAAATTGGAATATGATTTCTAGGAGAACATTAAGTTTTAATAACAGTGATTCACAGCAACAGAATTACATAGTCCATTGAATTTATTATAGTTTATTTACTAGTGCTAGAAAGTATTTACAGTTATATAATTTGTATTTTCTTGAGTTGAATACATTTTGAGGAGCAAATTTACTTTTGATTGTTGTCCTAGGTTAACTAGGTAAACATATCTCAGAATTTTGGCCATTTATGTAATAGACTACTCTTAAAATTAAACCCAAAGCTCATTAGCAGGAAAGGTGATTCACCTATGTAACCTGTGTATTGATATTGTGAGCTAAAATGTGAGTTGATCTTGGTTATTCCATTTGGCTATTTCTACTTTTTCTAGAAAACTGGACCACTTCCAGAGGGAAGTCAGATTCTAGTTACAAAAAAGTTGCAAGTAGATTTAAAAATTCTACGCATTCTTTTACTGAAATTATATTATAAATCTAAAGGTATACATTTATACATATAGAAATATGTATGTATATATAGATTTATGTAAACATCACATTATTAAAATGAAAAGCTTTAGCAAACTTGGGACATACTGATTAATTCAGAAACAAGTAAGAATTCAGGAGGCTATCTGTATTATAATCTACCATTGA